CCCCCCCCCCCCCCCCTTTTCGGGATTGCATCAGAATTATAGTTATCTCGTATCGCATGAGGATGACACATATCAACTGAGCAATTATGTTTGGGACTTAGTTTTAAGAAATGATGTCAAAGTAACATTATGAAAATATTTTTAGTAAGCTGAAATATATTTTTATTTTTTACATATTTATGTCTTGTAAGATATTTTATTTCTTGCCCGTTTTTCAACATTTGCGTCTGGAAAGTTGAAATGTTTTAACTGAATGGTTAATTTAAATTAATTATGAAAATTGTTAAAATTAAATCAATAAAGGAAATTATTGCCCAGTTACAAACACTACCAGGGGACAATCCATATTGATTTTTTTTTTAGTTATATGTTTCAGCACATGTATAATTAACCCCAACTTTAGCCTGGTAAACTTGTTGTCTCCTTGTGAAATGTAAAACATATTTAAAATGATTTCCTGCTAAAGTCTTTTATTGATATAAAGTTAAAACCGTCTTGCTTCTCACTAGTCAACACTCCTGTCCTGTCAGGCCGTTTAATTCTTATATATATGGATGAAAAATAAAAGTCCACAAAGCATTAACATGGCAGCAATTGCTTTTACAGCCTTTAAGGCTTTGATTTTTTTTACAGAAGAGTGTCCACCACGCACTTGCACTGCACTATAATAATAGTAGAATAGAATGATATACAAATAGATGAAAATTATATATACATGCAACCGTAATATTAATATAATATATAACAACAAACCAGTGTATTCTCTGGAACTATTATTATATTAGTATAATAGTCTAAGGTATACTGATTTGTATCACTACAATATAATAGTTATTACGATGAGGTTGAATTTCCTGTCATTTATTCATCATCCAAGCAGGAACCTGTATCAGAAAAAAAAATCTCTGTAAATTAACCTCAGTTTCAGGTATAGAGATGTGATCTGTTTCTGTGACATGTGCTTTTGACCATACACAAGAACCTGCGGTCATCCGATGTTCAGTACTTCAGTACTTTGATTTTAATTAGTTGTTAGTGGCTTTGAACTAGCTGTCAGTGTTTATGTGTTACATATTTGTTTTTCGTTCATTTTTTGTACATAAATTAGGCCGTTATTTTTCTCGTTTGAATTGTTTTACTTTGTCATTTCGTGGCCTTTTATAGCTGACTGTGCGGTATGGGCTTTGCTCATTGTTGAAGGCCGTACGGTGACCTATAGTTGTTAATTTCTGTGTCATTTGGTCTCTTTTGGAGAGTTGTCTCATTGGCAATCATACCACATCTTCTTTTTATATTGGTTATGATTAACCCGTTTTTTTAGAAAGAAGTTACATATTCCAATACTGCTTCTTTTGTCTCTTTTATAAAAGTATCTTTGACAGCTACATGTATAGAATAAAGAATGGAAACGGGGAATGTGTCAAAGAGACAACAACCCAACCAAAATATACAAGTCAACCCAAGGCCACCAATGGGTCTTCAACACAGCGACAAATCCCACACCCAGAGACAGCCCCGAGTAGGCCCCGAAACACAAAGTACACTATATCAAGAATATGGACGCCATTCTATGCTCCAAAACATGTAGATGAACCAAAATTAAAACATACACAAGACCAACAAAGGCTAGAGGTTCCTGACTTAGGTTCTTAGGAAGAAAGATAAGAAGTTAGCAATATCCTATAACTTTACGTTCCGCTATATATAGATGATGTTCTCTCACTAAATAATACAACATTTGGTCACTATGTTGAACGAATCTATCCCTTCGAACTAGAGATAAAGGATACTACAGATACAGTTAAGTCTGCCTCATATCTTGACTTACATCTAGAAATTGACAATGAGGGTCGGTTGAAAACAAAACTTTACGACAAAAGAGATGATTTCAGCTTCCCAATTGTGAACTTTCCGTTTCTATGTAGCAACATTCCAGCAGCGCCTGCATACGGAGTATATATCTCCCAATTGATACTATATTCCAGGGCTTGTATTTCCTATCATGATTTCCTTGATAGAGGATTGCTGCTCACAAGGAAGCTATTGAACCAAGACTTCCAAATGGTGAAGTTGAAATCATCCCTTCGTAAATTTTACGGACGCCATCACGAGTTGGTTGACCGTTACGGAATAACCGTTTCACAGATGATATCGGATATGTTCCTTATGTCGTAACTACAATACCCTTCCCTTTTCACGAATGTGACCTACCGAATTAGACTATTTACCGGATTTGTAATAACATAAGCAACACGACGGGTGCCACATGTGGAGCAGGATCTGCTTACCCTTCCGGAGCACCTGAGATCACCCCCAGTTTTTGGTGGGGTTCGTGTTGCTTAGTCTTTAGTTTTCTATGTTGTGTCATCTGTACTATTATTTGTCTGTTTGTCTTTTTATTTTTGACCATGGCGTTGCGAGTTTGTTTTCGATCTATGAGTTTGATTGTCCCTCTGGTATCTTTCGTCCCTCTTTTAGGACAGACGCAAAAATGCTGCGGGGTTAAACAGGTATTATGAGCGATCAACCTTCCCCCTTCACCTCCAGCCAATGTAGACATATATAACTTAAACGTCCACAATTTTGAGTGTCACTGCTAAAGAATAAATTTTGGGGTCCCTAACAAATATTGCCTCTGCAGCTGCCACAAAGAGTCCACTCTTAACGAAATCTGCAGAAGGGGTCTTTTACATATTTTTACTATAGTTTAGTTGCCATCTCCCTTTACGTTTAATATGACGGTGCTAGCTATGACATTTAATAATAATTAGAATACAAGCCATCCGCTGTATTTCAAAAGGCTATCTGTTTCTTCAGAAAATAACCATACTTTTCGTAGTGATTATGTAAGCAGTCCATTCATTTTTTTTTACACGAGACTCAGATGAAGTCCGAACAACAAAAAGAATCAACAATACTGTATACAATTCTATGAGCAATCATCATTCAAAAAAAAATGTTAATGAGGTACACCAAAAAAATTAAAATAGTTTTCCCCATTTTCACGCAAATCTAATTTGTAACTCGCAACTCGACTTTCGTAACTCGCAACTCAACTTTGACATTTGTAACTCGCAACTCGACTTTTGTAACTCGCAACTCGACTTTCGTAACTCGCAACTCGACTTTTGTAACTCGCATCTCGACTTTCGTAACTCGCAACTCGACATTTGTAACTCGCAACTCGACTTTCGTAACTCGCAACTCGACTTTCGTAACTCGCAACTCGACATTTGTAACTCGCAACTCGACTTTCGTAACTCGCAACTCGACTTTTGTAACTTGCAACTCGATACTCGACAACAAGTGAATCTCGTAATAAAGGTAATCATAACTGTATTTTATATCTTACGGTTTTATAACCCCCCTCCCTCTCCTCTCGAGAATAAACAAACATTCATATTCGGACATACTAAGGGATAGGTGTGACCCGACTAACAGACACGCTCAACATACAAAGATACAGATTTAATATTTAGGAACTCCCTTTTTGGGGGCAAACAGGGGCTAATCCAGCTGGGGGTTCCCAACTCAAGAGATCTTTTAAATGGGGATTCTAACTCCGCTCGTCACACCCTGTGGTCAAAATCATTTGTTATTCGTAACAATAGATCTATTCAATTTACACATTTCAGAAATAGAAACCATGAAGTATAACAATAGAACTGGGGTGTAATTTAAACGAACCAACGCTTATTCATTGCATCTAAATTATGTAACCAATGGTGTATAGAGAAGACCGTTTAATATGTTCGCAGAATATACCTGATAATTTACATGATTATGTAAACATATACTTTAAGAAAAGAATCAAACTGTATTAAAAAATATATGTCAAATCTAATTTGGTCTGTTTAATATAGTTCAATATAATAAGTTTAATAAGTTTAGGATAAGTAACCTCGGACATACAACTTCATAACTGTTGAACTGGTCATTAGTATTCATATCGAATCTAATTTGGTCAGTTTGGCATGGTTCGATAAACATTCTCATAAATAACCTATCATATAATATGTAAGCAACATTACTTTATTGTTTTACACTCCACAGTGCGTTAGCTTAGATAAATTCATTCAGTGTATCATTTATCCATCATATACGACATCACGTTTTAAGCTGCGTGGCAGTCGTTTGTGATTGTTGGGAGGGACGAGAGGGGAGTGGTTTACACTTGTTTCGAATCAAACCAAAAATTTCAAACATGGGGGAGCGTTTGTTTGAATTTGTGCCTTAATCAAACTAAAGATTTCAAACATTTTCGTTAGCACGAGTCCTTTAGGACTTATAGCAGACTGGTCGTTTCGGAGCAAAACCAATCAAAAATCCACAAAGTTCTTTTTTTTTATTTTTAGCAGAAGGTTTACAGGAATGTTTCTTATTCCAATAAAAGCGTGTGTATGCTTTGACTCATTATAAAATGGTATTTCTTTTTTTTTAAACTTACACGCGAGTTTCTTGAAATCAAAATAATTAAAGAACCTTTGTGAGCACGCTCACATACCACATGCCCCCACATTGTCACTGGGCAAACAAAACCTAACCAGATTCTTAAGTTCAAAGACTCACAACTCCTACAAAAGTCAACCGATAAAAAATTTCTTGTGGATATGCACATCTGCATATTATGTCTTCATTAACTACAAAGTTTCATAAAATTCACTTGTTTGGTTTCAGAGGAGTTTGGTTGACAAACATTTCCAGTAGTATATTTAGGTCAAAATTCTAAATTCTAAGGGCATAACTCCTAGAAAAAAAAAGAATCATAATATCTTGTTGATATGCACACTTACATAGTATGTCCTTATTATCTACAAAGTTTCATGAAATTCTGTTGTGTGGATTCAGAGGGGTTGTGAAGACAAAATTAGGACTGACGGAGGGACGGACTGAAGGAATGTCGGACGGACGGGTCAAAAACATTTGTTGCGTTGGGTATAATAAATACAAAATTATTTAAACTGAAATCTGATAAAATATAGAATACAACATGCACATACCTCAAAAACACTGGTAATTCCAAGATTGTAGAAAACTGGGATAAAAATAGTATTCGACAAAATAACAGAGATCAGAAACCCAAAAACGATAAACCAGTACATGGTATTGTACCGGTACATCTCAGCTGGAGTTCCTAACAATGTTACGGCTGAAATAAAACTGGACATCAAAGAAAGTGCTACTGGTAAAACAGACATGTTACGTCCGGCCAGGAGGAACTCATTCTCACTCTTCTTTTTTCTGTCTTTTATGGCATAAAACAGTCCAATACTAGCAGACAATCCTAACGTTATACCAAACACAACATAGTCATAAGTATGGAAGTACACTGAGGTACCAGTCTCAAAATTGTACAAATAAGTTCTGTTCCACATCTTGCTGTTAAAATATACTAGCCAGAATTTTGTATCCTAGTTTTTAATAACCTTACACATCAATAATTTGGCTCGCACACCTAACTAGTGAATGTATTTCTATGCATATTTACTTTTAAATGTCTGCGTAGATTTCAATATAAAACAAGTGACAACAAGGGACACCGACTTAACAGATGTGAACCGATGCATGGAAAACAGTATGTGGCAGATTTGTTTGATCGCTATGTAAACATTTATTACCTGATATTTTTTCTTACTTTAAAAAGTAAATACAAAATTAAATTTTAGATACTAACTTTTTGGTTATAATCTTTAAATGAAAAACTCGTAAGGTCAAGGAACAGTAAATGGGCTATGTCACAGATATTTCTAAAATTTTGCATAGAACTTTGGCTCGTTGAACTATAACTGAAAATCGAAAAAAAAAATAATGCATTTATCTTTATTTGACATCATCAAATTCTGTATAAACAAACAAACATTCGAATATTGTATTTAAAAATGTGTATGTGTGAGGTTTTTATTTATAATTCATCCCATGATGTGTTAATGAAACGATCGGATATGGGGTCAATGTCAAGGAAACAACACCCCATCTCATAGTTGGAAGTAACGCAAACAATTAACTTAACGGAAGTACTTTTAAGTCCTTTTTGGTCAACCTTTCAACTGTTACGGTTCTTATACATCCTTAGCTTTCAAATTTTTAAATGTTCGGCTTTTGAGTGTTCCTGATAAAGGTAAATCCAGAAATTCCAGTCTTTGAAATGTTATTTTCATTTCATGTATGACTCCGTGTTTGTCAGATAACAAAAGAATTAGACGTAGGATTTATAATACTCAGTATTTGTCAGATTTCAGAAATTTTTATACCAGACCTCTCTAACTCACTGTATGTCAGATATAAGACTGAAACAAAGTTCCTTGGCACATACGACTCAGTATTTGTCAGATATCAGACATTTTTATACCAGACCTCTCTAACTCACTGTATGTCAGATATCAGACTGAAACAAAGTTCCTTGGCACATGCGACTCAATATTGTTACAGAAGGTGAAACAACGTCGTTTTCATCAAAAGTAGGAGTAAAACAAGGATGTATTTTAAGTCCATCACTTTTTTCATTATATGTTAATGATATTGTCAAAATATTTGACAACTCATGTGACCCCACTATATTAAACAATGTAAATTTATCATGTCTTATGTATGCAGATGATATTGTTTTGATATCAGAATCTGCAAAAGGTCTACAGAATTGTTTAAGTAAGTTATCAAATTATTGTGACACATGGAATTTATCAGTAAATATAGACAAATCAAAGGTTATTATATTCAATAAATCAGGAAGAGTAATTAAAAAAGACAATTTTAAGTACAATGAATATGCACTAGAAATTACACAAGAATACAAATATCTTGGAGTATTATTTAAACCTTCAGGTAGCTTTACCAAAGCAAATGAATATTTATGTAAAAAAGCTAGAAAAGCATTATTTTGCATTTCCAAAACACTGCATTCAGACAAACTAAATATATTACCAAATCTTAAATTATTTGACTCATGTGTAAAACCTATACTTCTTTACTGTAGTGAAATTTTATGTCTAGATACTTTGTTGAAAAATAATGCTTCCAATGAGTCTAGATATTTTTTTATATCAACCTGTAAAAGTACAAATTAAATTTGCTAAATACATCTTAGGAGTTAACAAAACTGCATCAAATTTGGCTGTTCTGGGGGAATTGGGTATGATCCCATGTTCTGTTGATGCTATCAAACTGTGTGTAGGTTACTGGCATCATGTAGTCAATTCAAATCCAGATAGTTTAATAAATATGATTTATTCATCAAGTGTTAATAATAACTCAGACTGGTATAGAACAAAAATTAAATTGTTATTTGAAAAAGTTGGATTTAAACATGTCTGGGAAAATCAAAATTCACTTAGTAAAAATCGTTTAACTTTTGCTATAAATAAAAAACTGAAAAATGATTTCATAAAATTTTGGGAGAATTCCATTTCAAAAAGTGTTAATGATAAAAGAGGAAACAAATTAAGAACCTACAAGGATTTGAAGATGAAATTTGATATGGAGAACTTTTTAAAATTAGATAAAGACAGAGCTGATATTTCAAACTTTGTAAGAATAAGGATAAGTTATAGTATCCTTATGATTGAAAAAGGCAGACATAAAAAGATTGATTTAGAAAACAGATTATGCCCCCTATGTAAATTTGAAGTTGAAGATGAATTACACTTTACCATAAAATGTACCAAACTCAATGATCTGAGGAATAAATTTTTTCAGAATATTTCTGATATTTTACCATCTTTCAATAATCTTTCAGACATTGAAAAATTCTATTTCATATTTCGAAGTAATGATTATGATGTCAGTAAATGTTGCATTAAAGGTATTAATGAGATGTACACGTTCAGAAGTTCACTAACTTAAGTTATTTTATGTTTATATTATATAAATTGTAATACTTGTATCTAAAATTGTACCTCCTCAGTCAAATAGGTAGAAGGGGAAAATAAAAATACTCATTATATATTTATATATACACCTCTTTCTTCTTTTTTTTATGTTCTGTATTGTTATATAATTGATTGTAATGATTAATGATTGTTCTTTGTGTGTTGATGACAATCCATATTTTGGATTTTATATCAATAAAATCTTTGACTTTGACTTTGATATTGGAAAAATTCGATGCAAGACATGTTATACTCGGTGTTTATCGACTTATTTCTTACAGTAAATGAAAATTGTATAATTTGAAAATCTTTGTCTCATATGTCACCTTATGTTGATGCATAAAGTCAGGCGGTTTATATGGATTACATCACAAAACAATATTAAATATCCGTTTGCATGTTTGTGCGGTTTACACAATTATTCTTGGTAACAATATGAATAAACATTCTTAAAATTCATTTACCTGATAGTGATTCAACCGCAGAATACAGCGTTACAGTAACATACTTTACAACTTACATGTATAAATGCATAAACTGTGTACATTTGACAATATCCTTCTTAAGTTAAATCATCATCTTTTCTGACTTTCGAATAGATAAGAAGATGTGATAAACAATATGACAATCACCCAGATGACCTATCACAGATTGGACAACATTTCTCTTTTATAAAAGAGAGGCGAAGGATACCAAAGGTACATCCAAACTCAGAATTCGAAAATAAACTGATAACGCCATTGCTAAAAGAGAAAAAGACAAACAGACAAGCAACAGTACACAAAACAACATAGAAACCAAAGACTGAGCAAGACGAACCTCACCAAAAACTGGGGGTAATCTCAGGTGCTCCGGAAGTACAAACCCGGTGATATGTCTAATTCGGTAGGTCAAATTCGGAGGAAAGGGGAGGATATTGTAGTTACGACAATTGGAACATATCCGTCGTCATCTGTGAAACATATATTCCATAACGGTCAACCAATACTCGAAATATTTCACTATTTCCAAGTTTCGATTGAAGCCGTTTCATTTTCATATATTTTTCTTAGGACACCCTATTATTCCAAAAAATCGTTTTAAATGATTTATTTTCATAAATTTAATCGGTTCTGTTTGGTTTGGAGGCCAAAGAAAGTGTACAAAAAATTAAAACGAGTGATAAAGTTAAAAAACTGAAGATACCAGGCTTATATTTTGTTACGCCAGATGCGCGTTTCGTCTACACAAGACTCATCAGTGACGTTCGAATAAAATACAGTTGGAAGACCAAATCAAATACCAAGTTAAAGAGCCAAAACAAAAATTCCGAAAATTTGAGCTAAATACGCTAAGGCAATCTATGTACGGGGGTAGAAAAACATTATTATTTCGAGTAATTCAACATTTTATACTGTAACAGTAAGTTTACACAAAAAACATCAATGATTTTTCATGTCAGCACCGGACTGCTTTGTGGTGATACCATCGGGGATGAAATACCCACCTACAGTGACATTGACCGAGTCGTGGTTGTAAAATCGGATCAAAGATACTAGGCTTATAATTTGGTACGCCAAACGCTCGTTTCGTCTACCTAAGTCTCATCAGAGGCGCTCGAATCAAAACAGTTGGATGCCAAATGGAATACGAAATTTAAGAGCATTTAAGAGCATTTAAAAATGAAAATTCCGAATAGTTTTGCCAAAGATAGTTTTAAAAAATACAGGTTTAAAGTAAATTAAAGTTCGAAACAGAAGAAAAACCACTTGTGCGATCTGAATTGACAAATACAATCTATCTGTCATATTCCTGTCACAGTAAAGACACTTTTTAAGAGAAAGCAGAGTGTTGAATTGAAGTTTTAAGAAGCAAAATCACAAATGATTAAGAAATACCTACGAATACATGTGGTAATTGAGAAGGATTATGATGGTTTGATTACTGAAGAGGATTTGAATAATTAGTCTTTATGCGATTCAGTCTATCATTGTCACTTATAGTGAACTGAACTTTAAAAGTGTAACTAGTGATTTGATCAGGTGTTAAAAATAGGCCATTAAAGGAACATTTGTTAATAGTACATCGGGCTAGATCATCAATACAGATATCAAGTATCCTTGAAAGATCTGATCATTGATTATGTCAAATTTAAAACCAGACTTATAGCTTATATAAGAGGAGAAACTCTTTAAAATTGTAAAAGTTCATAAAAAGGGCATTAGGTACGATTTTAATAAAATATCAAAATATTCATTCAAACATTTATAAAGTGGAATATATATAGTTTTTTTTAATAACATTTCTTCATTAGAACACTCAGTTTGGTTCAATTTTGTCAAAATAAGCTAAACGACATCGCTGATGTATCATTTACTTGCAAGTCAATAATGCAACCTCAGTTGAATCCGTATTCATGCGACCATTTCACCATTATCTGGAGATGGAAAGGAAAAGAAAGAGAAGACTGTCAACATTGACAAGTGAAACAAGGCAGTCATTGGGAAGAACCATTTCATTGACCGACTACAAAAGATCATTCTTATATATATATGTCAAAATATTATTTACACAATTTTCAAATCTGTGATATTAACTCAAACAGACATAAACATTGTCCTTATATGACTCCATTTGCGTATCTGTTTATTTATGCATTTATCGGGTCAATTGACTATCGATATTTTTTGGAGATCATCTCGATGGCTAATTAGGTGCCGTCTTGTCCAAAATACGCACGAAATGATGATACATTATAACAAGTCCATGTATTGTTAATGCGTCTTTTGGACTTTTAGACTTTTTGTAATTTGGATATATGTATGTTATAAATCAAATATGAAAAATTAATGAAAACGAATTTGACAGCTAATGCCCCTTTAAAGATACCAGGCTTAAACCAGAACCAAAGAAAGCTTTTGACGGTCACCTTACTAATCTTATTCACTACCCATAGGCATCTTTTGTAAAAACAATCCTTCGGTGTATAAATTCTAATACGAATGGATTGGTAAAATTTGGCCTGGTAGTTAAATATAAAACTTAAAAATCGGTCACATCGGCTTTACTCACGGAAGAAGATGAAAATGTGATTTTCTATCTAGTTCAGTTGAAACTTTGTACCATCAATCCGTCCTGTTTGCTTCTGATACAATTTTGTCAAATGGTTTCTGAAAGACGAAATGTGCAAAGCTTACCGACGATGGCGACGGTTCCAAGTGTTTGCATGGCCTATTAAGTCAAATGAGCTGGAAAAATAAAGTGTCATTGATTTATTCTTTGTCAATAATTACTAGTAAGTAATTGTTAAGTTTCCCTCTGGTGATATCATCAGCTAAGTAGTCAGTACTTCGGCACAGGCATGATTTATAATAACACCGTTCAAACTACCTCTGGTAAAGTTTACCTCACATATATTTTGCTGTTCTGGTTAGGTCCCTTGTGGTCATATTGCTTCTCAAGCATTCAAGTATCTAAACATTCTGGCATTCGATTTTTATGGTATATGTTCCTGATCAGGTAAATCAAGAAAAGAACTTCGGACGCAACAAATTTGGAAGGGTGCTTTAGTTCTTTTCGATTTGAAATAAATAATGTTTTTTAACAAGCTATACCAACAAGATATTGTAATTTTGTACTGTCACACGTGACAGATGATTCTGACATGTTTTGATTGGTATATTTAGAAAAACAATTGTCGTTTGGAGGTAACATAATTGTTTTCTTAAATTATAGTTTGGTATCACAGTCTGATTTTTACGAAAGCCTATTCGGGGGCACAAAAAAAAATATTTATCTCGTAATAACGAGATAAATGTCTCGTAATTACGAGATAAATATCTCGTAATTACGAGAAAACTATCGTGTAATTACGAGATAATTATCGCGTAATTACGAGAAAACTATCGCGTAATTACAAGATAATCATGTTTATCTCGTAATTACGAGATAATTATCGCGTAATTACGAGATAATTTTCTCGTAATTACGAGATAAAATTACATATATATATATATATATATATATAAATATACAGATCATGATTACCCTTCCGGGGCACCTGATAAAACGCCCGTTTTTATTAGCTCAACTAACCCAAAAGGTCAAGTGATCTTTTCCAATCACATGGCGTCCGTCGTCCGTCGTCGTCCGTTAATTTTTACAAAAATCTTCTTCTCTGAAACCACTTTGCCAAATTGAACCAAATTTGGCCTTAATCATCCTTAGGGTTTCTAGTTTTAAAAAAATGTATCCAAAGACCCCGCCCACCAACCAAGATATCCACCATGGCTAAAAATCGAACATGGGGGGAGGGGAGGGGGGGGTAAAATGTAGTTTATGGTTTATATCTCTGAAACTAAAGCATTTAGAGCAAATATGACAGGTTAAAAATTTTCAGACGAATCAGACTTCCCGTTGTTGGGATGCTGCCCCTGAATTGGTAATTTTAATGATTATTTTTCAGTTTTTGGTTATTATCTTGAATATTATAATAGAAAGATATAAACTGTAGGTGCAAAAATGGTTAGCCAAGTAAGATCTACAAATACGTCAAATGACCAAAATTGTCAATTAACCCCTTAAGGAGTTATTGCCCTTTAAAGTCATTTCTGCAATTAAGTAAATTTTTTTAATCTTTTACAAAAATCTTTCTCCTCTTAATCTACTTGGCCAAATGAATTTTTATCTCGTAATTACGAGATAATTTTCTCGTAAGTACGCGATAATTATCTCGTAATTACGAGATAAAACAGCTTCTTATCTCGTAATTACGCGATAGTTTTCTCGTAATTACGCGATAATTATCTCGTAATAACGAGATAAAACAATGATTATCTCGTAATTACGAGATAATTATCGCGTAATTACGCGATAGTTTTCTCGTAATTACGAGATAAAAATGTTTTTTGTGTGACCCTAATAGGCTTTCGTAGATTTTTCAAAATATTCAGTAAAACAAAAAACAGCATTGTGTGGTAACAGTGTCGTCAGGTCACAAAAGACGCTCTTTAATCGTATTGTAAAAATTGGTGTAAACTGGAAAAAATTGATAAAAAATCTCTTGAGGAAGTACACCACTAATTCATGGCCCCATTGCTTTCTATGTTAAATTCCTCAATTTCAAGCAGACACAGCTCTTTTGTTTCAAGTTCAAATAAAGTGACAATCATTGCATGTCAAAGCAACACTTTATGGTGTCTTGTACTAAAAAAATCAACATACCTTTAATGGCATATAAGAAAGAACTGGTTCCCGGAACTTCGGATGTACCAAAACAGGTACTTCAGATCTGACATACAGGCAAAAAGTACCCTCTTTATAAAATTTGGTGCAGTTTTTTTAATATTCAAAATTATAAGTCAAAAAGTGTTCTACAATGATCACCAGTCATTCAGCTTTCATTTGATACCAACAATACCTAAATATTCTACATATTTTGAAAGTTACACTCATGCGTAGGAACTATTTTGTGTTAAATATGTACTACTTTCTGGTATGTGCTTTCTGGCCGGGCCGAATTAGTGGTGTTACACCTTGATTCTTATTCAAATAAATGTATGAATGTTGTGGATATTTTAATATCACATTTTGAAAATAATCTAGAAATAAATAAAAGAGTATACAATACACCTATTTCTAGAATAAGAAACAAACTTCAAGTACTTTCAAAGCTGTTTGTGTTTGTACCGGCCGACAAAGCAGCCAACAATGTTGGATGTTTTAGATAAATTACGTGCTTTTGATGGTCCTTTTGATTCTATTGACAGTTTTGACTTTTCAATTTTTTACACTACACTGCAACACAATCTTATCAAACAAAAGTTTTCTTATTTAATCAAATGTTTGTTTGGTAAATCTGAATGCAAATATATTCGCTGCAACTCATTTAAAGCCTTTATCTCTAATGAGAAAGGTAAATATGCTAGATATACTTACTGGATAATTGAAGCTGTTAATTTTCTCCTTGATAATATTTATGTACGTTTCGGCAATAAAGTTTATCGACAGGTTGTAGGTATTCCTATGGCCACCAATTGCGCCCCTTTAATAGCAGACTTGTTCTTGTACTGTTATGAATCACAGTCTATGACCAAATCAGTAGAGACCCGTCTAAATGGCATTTAGTTGATAAATTCAACAACACTTACCGTTATCTTGATGATATTTTTTTGTTAAATAATCAAGAATTTTCTAAATATACTGCCGGAATTTATCCAAAGGAACTTACTTTAAATAAATCAAATATAAACGGTAATAACTATCCTTTCCTAGATTTAGATATTTCAGTTTTACACGGGAAACTCTACACTAAAATTTACGACAAAAGGGACGATTTTTCGTTCCTTATTGTAAATTTTCCAGTTTTGGACGGTGATGTTTCTTTGGTGCCATCTTATGGTGTTTATATATCACAACCCTTTCGCTATGCCCGTGTCTGTTGTGACGTTTTGGATTCAATGAACGTATTCTATGTATTACTGGTAAATTATTAAGTACTGGATTCCGTTACCACAAATTACTTAAAACCTTTACTAAATTCTTCCATAGATATAAAGATTTGGTTTTGTAGTTTCGTTGTTCATGTGGAAAACTTATTTCAAACGGGATAGCACATCCTATTTTTTTCGGAGATGTTGTTTACAGAGCCCGAATATTTAGATACGATCCAGATAAACTTATCGATCCTTTGAATATACTTATTCTATAAAGGTTACCAATTCAACATTGTAATTAGATCTTTGAATATTTGTTTTATTGGTATTACTATTGATTTTGTTGTCAGTAAATTAAAATCAAACTAAATATCATTTTGATATACATATGCACATTCATGGCTCTACAATATGTCGATACCTGTATTGGCATTGCACAAGGTCATGTTTTTCTCTGACTGTTAATGACGTCTTAACACTATATCAATTGAATGTTGGATGTGTACTGATTCATTTTTTAGTCTTAGATGCATGATTTTTTTTTATAAGTTGTTTTTGGCTTTGAACTAGCTGTCAGTAACTGCGAGTACTCTCAGATCTGTACTTAGTGTCTTTTTGTTTTGAGGATGTATAAGTACCCTGCCACGTCCACTCTGTGTTTTGGTTGATGTATTCCTATTTGTATCCATCTGAGTTAAGCCTTTTTCAAATGAATGCAATTGTGGAGAATTGTCTCATTGGCAATCATACCACATCTTCTTATTTTTATATATGTTTTCTGCTATATATACAGTGTTCTACCATATCCTCCTCTCTACATCGTCTTTGCGTTGTCTTTGGAAAACTTAACAAAATGAAAATTAAATACAACTCACTTGAAAATGTATGTGTTAAATCTTATCATATACCTGCTAGTGTTTACAAGAAATTGCTTTCTTGCTTCGCAAGTCAATAAAGTTGTGTTGGTATACACTCCAAATAAAGGTCCTTAAAATGTGATATATTTTGTTTTCTCACGTAAATATGATAATAGGATCTGCACGCTTAATTCTTAAAATGAAAATATTCATATGCCAAGGCTTATCATGTATGAACATCTTTTTATCCTTGATATAAAACATTATTTCCTATTCAATTTCGGTATAGCTTGTCAATTGCCAATAAAGTTGGTTGAATTGCTGTATGGTGTTATATTTTTTTTTAAATTAAGGAGAGGAAACCGTGGAGAAAACCTTTCTATTGTGGAAATGAACAGAACAGGGTTTCGCTAACATTTTTCAAATTGGAAAGTTGGTGGAATTTGAATATATGAGTCTGAATAATATATTTATAAGATTTCTCTTTTGGTTTTAAAAAGACAGCAATTAAATCATATTGTTATTCAAGAACATTTTCATACGATACTCCGAATTTACAAACAAATTAATGTCTGATACCCAAATATACATGAATTTTTTATTAGTTGTTATTGGCTTTGAACTAGACAGTAACTGCGAGTACTCTCAGATCTGTACGTAGTATCCTTTTTAGTTGTTTGGGATGAGGGATTGATAAATACTCTGCCACGTCCGGTTTTTATTGTTTGTTCTTATGTTGTTTCACCACTGTCCCAGGTTAGGGTAGGGTTGAGCGTTCACAGACATATTTAACCCCGTCACATTCTTTAGGTGCCTTTCCCAAGCGAGGAACCTGTAGTTCAGTGGTTGTCGTCGGTTCATGTTGGTCATATTTGTTTTTCGTAAATTGTTTTATTATAAATTTGGCTGTTAGTTTTCTCAATTTAATTGTTTCATATTTTTTTATGTCGGGGCCTTTTATAGGCGACTATACGATATGATTTTTTTCTCATTGTTGAAGGCGGTACGGTTGCCTATAATTGCTTACATCCACTTCATTTGAACTTTGGTGGCTAGTTGTCTCATTGGCAATCATACCACATCTCCTTATTTTTATAATGATGCCATATAGATTAAGGAAATATTTGTCCCATCCTTACAAGTGTTGATCCCAAGCACAAGGTATCAATTCACAAAAAAATATACTTACATCTTAGTGACGAACGCCAAAATGAAGCCTCTTTCTGGTTTTCATAGGAAGGCAAGGCAAAATTTCATCGAATATAGGACAAATCAATCTGCTGCTCCTATCAAATACAATATCAATGTAATGCACGAGTGTTTTATCAATTTTTTTGCTTAAAAGTAACAGCTAGAAAACGAATATGATTTATTTATAAATCATTTATGTTTTCAAAATAAAACTGTTCTAAATTGTAAACCAAGATCATTTAGATATAAGTACTTGACATATGGTGTTGGCATAGACGCTTGTTTTTTTATGACGATGTCCATACGTCTATTTAATTTATTAGGTTTTATCATGATCTTACGTTGCCATCTCACGGACATATTTCCTTTCCTAGTTCTATTTCTTTAAATTTGTGAATATGTTTTAATAATACTGTGGATTTATTTAATTTTGTTTGTACGATTTTTCGTGAATTGAGGTACAATTGAGTTTTCATGGATATTTGATTCGTGATTTTGCCAAAGTCTCCATTCAAACCTTTTAATAATTTGTACTCCATTGAACATAGAAATTCTTGGTTAACCTGTACCACGAAAATTGGTATTCGCGTATATTAATGACTGTTAGGTATATGGTTAGATACCTTGGAAAGCAAATTATGCATATTTTGAGTGTCAATATGCATAATGTAGTTACTGTATATTCTTTTAAATTAGAAACAAGTCTCACTATTATATTAATGCGAACCAAAATGTGTGTTTCAATATAACCAAAACAGACCAGACACACGTTTCTAATAAAAATTTAAAGACGCACATAGAATAGCAATTGAAGTCTTAACGGTAAGCATTTTGCCAAACGAGCTTATACGTGAAACTCACATGAACTGATTTCACATGAGTTATACGTAGATGTGATGTGAAACTCACGTGAATTTCACGTGAAAATCACATGTTTTTTTTTCACGTGAAATTTCAAAACAAAGGTATTCAAATAATATCTAAATTTTTTATGAAAAACATGAAAATACCAATTTTTTTGTGTGTAAAGTTTAAAAATTCACGTAAAATTTTACATGAGATTCATATGAATCGCAATTCATCTGAAATTCTTTCGAAAATTTCCACATGAGTTCCACGTAAAAGCTTGATTGAGGTGATTTCATGCGAGATTCATGTGAAATTCATATGAGCAAAAGTTCATGTGTAGTTGTGTACGCCTGACACGCGTTTCGTGTGCCTTAGCCTCACCAACGACGTTCTAATGATTTTAATACTATTTATTTGTAAAACTTTAACTCTGAAATTTTGATTGGGATATTGAAATATGGTAAGGTAGATTGTTCTCTTTCGACAATAAAATGTCTGATTTATTTATAGTCCTTTATACTCCAATTCATAGAAAAGTTTCATTTTTTAAGGGGATTGGAATATATATGCAGAAATCTAAGTATGATATATTGAATTAAATATTAATGTTTTTATTTTTGATAGCATGAATTGGGATCATTCTCTCAACAATGAATTAATATATATATATATACACGTTTTTTATTATGTCGGTTACCATATAAGCTATCGTGTTAAAATCAACATTTTTGTTTTCATTGTGAAAAACAGTGTCCATGTTTTAAAAAAGATCATAAATATAGTTATCTTACCATTTATCTACACTTGAACATCTTATTAGCAATCCCCGTATTACCTGAAGAAATGTGTTTTTGTACATGGCAAATTTTGTTCTCGTGAAATTCATCTCAAACAAACTTATACGTGAAACTCACGTGAAAATTTTCAGTTAAATTTCACCTGAATTAAGATGCACATGAATCTCACGTGAACTTAACACTAAAAAATTGGTATTTTCAACAGTTTTAATTAAATTTGAAAATTTCGATGTTATTTGAATGAATTTATTTTGAATATTCACATGAATTTCACGTGAAAAATATTCATATGATGAACGTTACTTCAATTTCACGTGAGATTCACGTGAAATTACGTGAGTGAAATTTCCCATTGTAAAAGATGAATTTTGCTATTTATGTCCCTTTTGGTCATTTAGCTTCTACGTATTTTACAATTCTGGCGTTCAGGGCTTCGGCGTACCCGATGAAGTGAATCCAGTAAACCGGATGCACGTAGTTTAAAAAGTATTATTTCATAAAATCTTTGAAATGCATTTTTTTTTATTGAATCATAAGAAGAAAAACAGAACATTTTAAAAGCAGAATTTCATCAAAATAAATTCAACTCATACCTCAAAAATACCGGTAATTCCAAGATTGTAGAAAACAGGGGTAAACATGATATTCGAAAAAACAACACACATTTAGAAACCAAAAAACAATTAACCATAAATCTCTGCATGAGTTCCTAAAATGTATTTTCTGCATTTTGGTTGGGTTGTTGTCTCTTTGACACATTCCCCGTTTCTATTCTTAATTTTATTGCTGAAATAAAACTAGTCATAAAAACAGTGCTACTGGCAAAACCGATATGTTTCCTCCGGTCAGGAGAAACTCATTTTCGTTCTGTTCTTCTTTTCCCCCTGTCTTTTATGGCATAAAACAGTCCAATAGTAGCAGACAATCCTAACGTTATACCAAACATAACATATTCATAAGTATGGAAGTACACTGAGGTACCAGTCTCAAAATTGTATAAATAAGTTCTGTTCCACATCTTGCTATTACAAACATACACTGAATTTTATATTATACAGTTTTTTTACTATTTTCACGCATCAGTCTATCCTTTCTTAATAATAACTTTATATTTATATACAACTATGTGAGGTGTGTGTACTTTGATGTTTGTGTAGGAGTTAATATAAAAGAAGAGACATCTACACTACCGGATGTGATCTGATGCATGGAATACTGTATGTTGCAGATTAGTTTGATAACTGTAACAATTTTGAATGTAAATTGTATCATGCTTTAAAAGTAAATAAACAAATCTAATTGCATACACTATTGAGGTTATAATACACTATCCTTGAGGTTATACATGTAATACACTCTAAATCACTGAAGTCATAAAAATTTTGAAGACCATGAATTTCTATGTAATTAAAATCGGAAAAAAAGAGTGAGAAATAACAAATGGGAAATCAAAAACCCCGAATAAAACCACCCAACACCATGTCCAAAAAGTAAACGATGAATAGACAAACAACAGTCCACTAAATACTACAAAGAAAACTGAAGATTGAGCAACATGCGCCAAATCAAAAACCGGAAGTAAACTGAGATGCTCTAGTGAGCAGCTACATGTTGAATGAAAAAGCGTCAACATTAATTTGATTATTTTTTCCTTGCTTATGCTTAAAAATGTTGACATACGTATTTCATAGTTTGAAATAATGCACCTAGATATTTGTTTCTGTTATTATAAACATTGTAGAACATGCTTAAGTTTTTTTTTCTTTGTACTAGCAAACTATTTTAACAGAAATTTTATATTTACGCAACGAATGAAATAGCGAAAACTAGCACTTTCAAAATGTGTTCCAAATGTGGAGAGAGAGAGAGAAAAAAACAGAAATGAGAGCAAATTTATTAACGACCATAGTATATAATAAACAGCTGCGCCATGAGCGCATGATACGCCCGTCGTCTTGTGTGTGAATTTTTATGCATAAATAGTTTCTGACATACGGCGTGACATGCGAAAACCCCCTTTTTTTTACAAAAAACTCAATATTTCTAAAATAAAATTTTGAATCAAAACCAAAATGTATACAGATCTTTAGATTAATATAACTAAGAAGTGTGTAAAATTTTAAGCAATAATCATAAATCGTTTTTGAGATACGGCGCGACATGTGAAAACCCCCCTTTTAAAAAAAAAATCAATATCTCAAAAATAAAATTTTGAATCAAAACCAAAAAGTATACAGATCTTTAGATTAATATAACTAAGAAGTGTGTAAAATTTTAAGCAATAATCATAAATCGTTTTTGAGATACGGCGCGACATGTGAAAAACCCCTCCCCTTTTTTTACAAAATACTCAATAACTCAAAAATAAAATTTTGAATCATCAGCAAAAAGTATACAGATCTTAAGGTTAATATAACTAAGAAGTGTGTAAAGTTTTAAGCAATAACCATAAACTGTTTTTGAGATACGGCGCGACATGTGAAAAACCCCTCCCCCTTTTTTAACAAAATACTCAATATCTCTAAAATAAAATTTTGAATCATCACCAAAAAGTATACAGATCTTAAGATTAATATAACTAAGAAGTGTGTAAAGTTTTAAGCAAAAATCATAAATTGTTTTTGAGATACGGCGCGACATGTGAAAAAAAACACACACCTGTTTTAGTTACTAAGTCCCGTAACTCAAAAAGTTTTAATCTTATTTTCACCAAAAAGTATACAGATCGTTTGACCATCATAAGAAACAACTATGTTAAGTTTCATGAAATTTGAATAAGTCATTCTCAAGTTACGGTGCGACATGTTTACGCCGGACAGACAGACGGACAGACAGACAGACAGACGGACGGACACCGGACATTTGTATACCATAATACGTCCCGTCAAAAATTGACGGGCGTATAAAAATTAACATATCATAGATGTGGATTGATTTCAAATGAGACAACCATCCACCAAAGACCAAAAAAGTGAAGAACTACAAACCAACGTGCTCAACAATGAGCCAAAATCATACCACAACGTAAACTATACAACTCAAAGATACGATAAAACGGGAAACAATATAAGCCCTGTTCATTGATGGTTTTCTATGTTTTCTATGTATTGTGTGCAATTTTGTCCCATGTGCATTTACTCCATATCCTTTCATTTTCTATTCAAAAAAGAAAACTTACAGTCTGGTTAATGCTAAAGCACTAATCGGTAGACAATTGTGACAACAACCACTAGATTACAAGCTTCTAGAATAAGACAGACACATAAACGGTGTTTGCATATTATTTATATATACAATCCTCCAAAAGTTAAGCACCACCTATTTTTATTGCATCGAAAAAAGTTTCATTTAAAAAATCAGTTATTCCTTGAAAAAGAGAAAACATTCATGTAGCAATTTTGCTAACAAATACCATAAACAAACCATAAACTTAAGTTTGGTCACTTATGCAGGTTCTATGGATTTAAATTTTACGTTCATAGAAATAATACAAACTACACAAATCAGAAACGGAATTTAAGTTTCACTGTGATTTTATTTTTTTACAACAATTAATCACCCAATATCATTAAAATTCTCTACAAATAATCTTTGGTATGTTCGGCAAATTTAATGTCAATATTTGAGTCAATAGGATGTGTAACCACCTCTCTTCCGGTACAGTTCCATAACACGGCGTCTCATTCTCTGTACAAGCCTTCTGAACTTTAGTTGAGAAAATCTATTCCATTCATCAACAATTGCCACTCTTAAATTGTCAAGATTTTGCAGTGGTGGATCTCTGCGATTGAGATTTCTACCAATGGCATCCCAGACATGTTCGATAGGGTTCATGTCTGGAGACATGGAAGGCCAACAGATAGTGTCAATGGCTTCTTGTTCTTTGTACTCGGTTACAATCCTTGCCCTGTGTGGTCTAGCGTTGTCGTCTATGTACAAGGGTCTTGACACAAGTGGGTAAATGAGTCAAAACGAGGGACTGCAATGTTTCTAAGCACCAAATCCCTGTATGTCTGTCCGTTCATGTTACCCTGCAGAATATGCATACCCAGCTTACAACGGTATGAGAAGCAACCCAGTGGCGGATCCAGAAATTTTCATAAGTGGGGGCCGACTGACTGCCTAAGAGGGGGCCCACTCCAGTCATGCTTCAGTGATTCCCTATATAATCAACCAAATTTTTCCCACAAAAGGTGGGGCCCGGGCCCCCTGCCCCCCTAAATCCGCCTCTGCTGAACCCCATACTGTAACACCACCAGCACTGAATGCAGTCGTTGGGCAAATGTTGTATTGGTCATAGGTAGTTTTATTTTCCCGCCAAACTCGTATTCTGCCGTCTACTGGTCGTAACAGAAACCGACTCTCATCTGACCAATGAATTTTTTTGCCAGCTTCTCATGTTCCAGCGTCGATGGTCGTTAGCCCATTGAAACCTGATTATAAGGTGCCTGGCTGTTAGGGCAGGTCTCTTGACAACATGACGTGCTCATAGGTTGCCTCTATGAAGTCGACTGACCAATGTTCGAACACTAACACGACCACCTGGAGGCCAGTGGTGTCTAAGCTGCGGGGCAGGAGTAAATGGGTTGGCTTTAGCACGACGAATAAGCAGTCTGTCGTCACGACGGGTAGTTAAACGGGGTCTTCCGGACCTTGGTTTATCATTTACAGTTCCTGTGTCAACATGACGTTGTAAAAGTCTGACAATGGCGGTGTGATTAACATTGAAATGGTTACCTATGCTCCTGGTACTCCTACCGGCATTTGACATGCCAATTGCTTGCCAACGTTCAGCCACAGATAACTTACGTCTTGTCATATTACACAATGACTTGATGAAGGTCAAATTTCACCTGTACGCATGACAGTAGGAAGATGTCAGATTTAAAGGTATAGAAACAGTGTATTTGTAAAAGTGCAGATGACATTTGATAAAAAGTTGCTTGGCGGGTTTATCGGAGTTCAATCTTTTTGGTCGTAATGAATTTTCTTAGTGTAAGTTAAGGGCAATTCATAATACCAAACATAACTCTTAACTGCAGATTGTTGAATTTTTCATCAATGTTTTAACGAAATGGAAAATATATACTTTTAATTGCATACCATAACTGATAAGTAGCAATTACAAATTACAAAATTCTTATATTATTTAAAAAAGAAAAAAAAAGAAAGAAATAAAGAACTGATAATTAGAATAAAATGTTTAATTTCTCAAAATAGAGTGTTGTTTGCAACTACAAAGTAAGTGCCAGATTAATCAAATTGATTTGAAATTTTTTTATTATTGTTACAGTGTATTAGTTTTTTTGTTTTTTTTTCTAAAGGGAGATAATTCAAATTGATTACCTCCCCTTGGCTAAACCTCAGCCCACATGTAACTATTTTCTTTCTAATATTTCTAATATACTTATAAAAGCTTTATACAACACAATATATTTGAAGTCATATAAAAGATATTTGTCAAGATATTAATAAGGCCTACATGAATAAAGATTAAAATTTGAGGGATCTTTTTTCACCAGCTCATAACAATCATTTCACACATGTCATCATTACAAAGAGAACTAACTGTCTCATCATGGAATATCCATGGTCTTGGGGATAAATACACTGACGATTTATTTATTGATACTATCAAATCTGATATAAATGTTATATTAGAAACATGGAAAGGAGAGAGAATGCTGAAACAAAAATTGAGAATTTTGTTTCTATTTCAAAGTGCAGAAAAAAACATAAAAAATCTAAAAGACACAGCGGCGGAATTATTATATACATTTAAAATGAAATTTTCAAGGGAATAACTAATTTATCTAAAGCATCTACATCTCCAAATAGAATATGGCTTAAACTAGATAAGTCCTTCTTTGGATTTGAGAAAGATTTATTTTCATGTGCTGTTTATATTCCCCCTTATAATTCTACTCATTTAGAGGATGATTTTCAGAACTTAGAAAATGAAATAGTTAAATTTTCAGTTAAAGGTGAAATTGCATTGATAGGTGACTTTAATGCTAGAGTAATAGATCACACAGATTTTATCAATCAAGAATCATATGACTCACATGTTTTACAAGATATTTTACCACCCAACTATGATGATGATATATTTGTCGAAAGAAATAGTCAAGACCAAACTTTAAATTGTCATGGAAAATCACTTTTACATATGTGCATATCCTCAAGACTGCGGATACTAAATGGTAGATTTATAGGTGACTCCTTGGGTTATTTTACTTGTTATACTTTTGATGGTTGTAGTACTGTTGATTATGGTCTAGTAACCAAGGACCTCCTGTCCTCGGTGAAATATTTTTGTACTAAAAGTCTTAATTACCTCTCTGACCATGTTCAGATTTATTTTGTTTTGAAATGTAAGTTGAATTTTTCTCATAAAATTGAAAAGACCCACTCTTTAAGAAATTGTATAAGCTACAAATGGACACCAGAATCTAAAGAAAAAAATTATAAAACATTGTCCTCTAAGGAAGTAATAAATATGATTGTAGACTTCGAGCAAAAATTTGAAATCAGTGAGTCGGGTATAAATTCAGCGACTGAAAACTTCAGAATCATATTTGACAACATATCGAAAGATGTCTGCTTAAGAAAAAGTCCAATTCATTATAAGAAAAAAAAGAAAATTATAAAACCTTGGTCTGACAGTGAAATTAGAAACTTAAAATCAAAAATAAATTTTCTTGGGATACAATTAAAATCTAAGCCATTTGATAAAACATTAAGAAAAAAATATTTTATAACAGCTAAAGATTTGAAGAAGTGTGCTAAAAGAAAAAAAAACCAGTTCAGACAAAATTTTATAAAAAAATTATTAGATGCTAAAACTGAAAATCCACAAGAATTTTGGAAATTGTTGAAAGAAGCTAATAGTTATACCCATAAAAACATCAATACACCTAGCAATGATAATTTTCAACCCAAAAATTTAATGAAACACTTCCAATCTCAGGGTGACTGGGTAGAACCTGAAAATAAAACTCATATAGAAGAGATCGAAAACTTTCTATCAGATTTAAATAAATACAAAGATAATAATAATACTGATAAACCTATAACAATAACAGAGGTTAAACGAGTAATTAAGTCTCTTAAAGTTGGTAAATCATGTGGTCCTGATCTCATATTAAATGAAATAATAAAAACAAGTTGTCCTGTTATTGTTAAGTCTGTAATTATACTCTTTACAGAGGATGACCTTGAGGTCACTCCGATGTATTGCTATCGCCTAAATTTCCATTATGCAAATTAGTTTTGGGATTTCAACCGATCTATAAAAATTATAGATCCGCGGTCATTACAAGGGAAAAAAGTGCATTTTTATACCTGCGATTCCGTTCTCCGTTCGTACGATGTTTCATCAAAAAATGGAATCATTTCAGTTGTTGATTTAGTACTGAAAATTTGACTGAATTATCTCCTTATTAAATACGGTTTTATATGTTTAATAGGTGTTTAAGAAAGAGGTCAGGTGCTCATGTTCATTCATAAAATTATCGTTCATTCATGAATTTATCGTAAAATCAAAATCACTACACAGGTCACACAGGTTGTATACGTAGTCAAAAGATTACCTGTATAGTATCTAAAAATAGACAAACTTAACTGACTCCCCTTACTGTAGTGTGTGATAACATTTTGTGAGGGAATTCGATGTTTGCTATACCACTGTTCATTTCAACGCACTTTATGACGATACCACTTTATCAATATGAATGAAATTTTTTGCAGTGTTTTAAGAAATAATTTTACTTTAAAATCGCGTATCATTTGTGAACTATTAAATGTTTTACAAGGACGAATTTTCTGTATAAAGTCAATAATTGTGTGAACTTTTGAAGCCCAAACTTTTTATAGCCTTAAGGTTCATGTGGACCCTTTGGCTAAAATGGCTGCGTTTTCACCTCAAAATTTACTCTGAGTACAGACAAACCTGTGCATCTGGAAAAGTTTTAAGGCATAGCATGCCCTGGATAAATAAAATTCAAATATATTCTATGTTTAAGAAAATTTAAACTTTAACTGGATTTTGCAGTGCACTTTTTTTCGTCCCTGCAGAAGATGATAAAATTAACAAACAGTTGAGTTTCACTTGATATGGTCCACTCAGGTACACAGTTTAAATCACCAATTATTGTCAGGTATCTATTGTCCATCTATTGTCCATGTCAATCAATACAGTTCACTTCAATTATTACCTGTGGGGAAGTTCTCAAACCTCTTTCACAACTTAGTTTATTTTGGCACCTTCTGGAGGAATGAAAAAAAGTGCACTGCAAAATCCTGTTAAGTTTTTAATTTTCTTAAACATAGAATATATTTGAATTTTATTTATTTAGGGCATGCTATGCCTTAAAATTTTTCCAGATACACAGGTTTGTCTGTACTCCGAGTAAATTTTGAGGTGAAAATGCAGCCATTTTAGCCAAATGGTCCACATGAACCTTAAATACGCTAATGAAAGATCCGAAAACTATACCCATACAGAACGCCATGTTTTTGAAATTGTAGCAAAACTTTTGGTTGACAAATTTTAATTCGTTATTGCATAAATATTAACTTGAAATATCTGTCATTTTCTCCCTACCCAGTTTACCTCTATTACTCATTATGATGTGGACTTGACATTGTTATTGAATCTTATGCAATTTGATTGGATTAAGTTATTATTAGATTACCTTTAAACTGTTCATGCTTTTACGTACGAGTATATTGATTAAATCAGAGCGTGCATGAATGTGTACAGAAAATTAAATTACCTGCAAACTGGACACTGGACCTGTCCATATTACGTTTTATCAATGAATAGATTTTTTTTTTATTTCCCAAATTACAGGGCCCATAAAGGGCATAAAATCAGATACAATTGATTTACATAATTGGTAACAACAACAATAATAGCGGCATATAAATAGATATTTAGTATATAAGCATTGGTCAGAATCAGATGAACGAAACTTAAGGTATGAAAGGTAACAATTGCCACTTTTTATCTTTTCACATAATTTTCCACATACACATTAGATACATTATTTTTGATAGCCTATTGCGGAGAAAAAAGAGAAAGTTTACTGTATTAACGTTCTATTCCATTAAATACGCCATTTTTCGAAGATAAATGCAGAAAAACATTTATGAACGGCTACGCCAGGTAAAATTGTTGTTTATCCTAAAAAAAAATACAATTTTCAGTTTCATTAGAATATTATAATAATAATAAATCCCAAATTTATGTAGTCATTAGATAAAGTCCGTATATGTCCGATCTGCCTATTTTTGGACATCAAAAGACAATACGATCGTTTTAAGGTCAATTTCGTCTACCTCACACAATCTTGTTAGGCACTATAATGAAATGGACCTGAAATTTATTTCACATGTTTCCTGAAAATTGATAAATATCAAAGCAACATAGAGCTGTTTGTTCTAGTTCGTATAATGACAATTTAATGTCATGTTTGTTTGTGATGACCCCCCCCCCCCCCTTTTCGGGATTGCATCAGAATTATAGTTATCTCGTATCGCATGAGGATGACACATGTCAACTGAGCAATTATGTTTGGGACTTAGTTTTAAGAAATGATGTCAAAGTAACATTATGAAAATATTTTTAGTAAGCTGAAATATATATTTATTTTTTACATGTTTATGTCTTGTAAGATATTTTATTTCTGTCCCGTTTTTCAACATTAGCGTCTGGAAAGTTGAAATGTTTTAACTGAATGGTTAATTTAAATTAATTATGAAAATGGTTAAAATTAAATCAATAAAGGAAATTATTGCCCAG